CCGCCGCCGCCGCCGCGCTATACTTACCGTGTATACTTACCATGTATACTCACCGTCTCTCTCTTCCTCTTATGCGTTATTATCTGCATCTCTTTATGCGATTATATACATCGCACTTTGTCCCGCAAATTGTTTTAATTTATAAATTAATAATAATAATAATAATAATTCGACTTATTTCCGTTATTTTTGTTCTAATGAATTAAGGGGTCATGATGGCACCGTTGTTCTCGTCTTTCATAAGACCAGGAACTTTTTTATTCGCGAGCGGAATACTGTACGGGTTGTCAATAGAGTAATCGCTAGTGTCAAATCTATTTATGTCGTGTTTTATAATTTCATATACATCATCACATTCCATGATATATGAGACTATCAGTATCGGTATACATAATTTTACATTCTTCGCGAAACAACGGTGTCATATATTCGTGGTGAAATTCATACAAACACGTTTTAGATATATCGAGGATGCAAATACCTACGTATATCGGTTTGTCGAACTTCACCTCGAGTTTACGCAGCTCTATCGCGGCCAGATTCTCCGAGAAAACGCTACGACTGTGAAAGTTGGGTTTCGCGATCATTGCTTCGGCACAGTATCTGCCTTCCCATTTTGTTACTAATTTTACATCAACGCAATCGCGCACTTTCTCCATGGTTTTACCAAATACCGCGTTATTCATAAGTTTGTATAAATTTTTCTCAAAATCATTCTTTGCCAAAGTTCTAAATTTTGTGTTTAGTTCTATATAGTCGCGAAGCCATGGAGATTGCGTGAATTGCAGTATACGGTGAATCTTTGCGATACGGAGGCCGTGACGAGTACACTGCTGCAGGTTGCGATAATGAATCACGTAACGCTGCTTATCGCATAACGTCGCGAGGAGCTTCTCATCGCGCTTGCTGGGCGGTTTCTCTCGCGTTGGACAGAACGGTAGGTCAGTATGCGCGTCGTGGAGATGTTGCGGATATTCCAAGTCTACCTCGAGAATATAGCCCGTAGGTGAATCTAGCGCGATGGTCGAAAAGTCGAAATTTTGCACGTCGTCGATTCATCGAAAATCAGCGTATGGCAATGGTTGACACATTGCCCAGCCGTAGAGATTGTTGATGTCATAGTACATTAGGTAAGATGATGGTTTCGATGGGTCGTACGGCATGTATTTGTTGTTGGCTCGCGCGTACCTGTTTGAGCACTGGCTCAGACCACCGCGTATACCGCGCTCGACAAACATGACCGTGCGGGCTTGTGCCTCTATGCGCTATGTGTAGCGCTATTTTCTCTTATGAAAGCCTTGTGGCTCGAATATTAATTTGCTATGCTTGATGCAGCGTGTGATAATGCTCGAAGGACCAGTGTTGGCAAGAAGCAACACGAAAACATAGTTGATAATGATACTTATTTAATCTTATTATACTCATGCATGTGCATGCTTGACAATCGTAGAACACAGATGGTGAACTATTGCAAACTTAAACGACTATATAATAAGCGTAAAGAAAAATCATGCTGCTGCATGCTTGGACGAAAACGAACTAGGAAGAAGAAGACGGAAGTGGCGAACGAACAGATACGGAAGCGAACGAACGCAAACGAACGCAGAAACGAACGCTGATAAGCGAACGCTGAGGAGAAGGGGAACGCAGGTAGCGCTCCTTTCAGAAGGAGGGAGCGTAGCAAAGCGAGCGAAAATACAAAAGTGAAAACGTGCATAGCGCGTACAAACCGCCGCCCTTGAAAGCTTCGGCTTTCAACAAAATAATGTTATGTTTACGCAATTCAAAAGTACAAAATAATAGTATAGATTAATGAAATGATACGAGCTTAGTTACTATCAAAGGGAAGAACGCATAATCGTGTAATGGGACGCTTATAAATGCCAGACGATGTGCGAATTGTGACTGTACGAACAATGTTGTCATTACCGGGATGTAATTCGACGATTCTAGCGAGAGGCCAAGAAAGAGGCGAAGCAGAATCCTCTCTTAGAAGGACCATCTGTCCGACATGTAATGGATTTTCCTTAATTGTCCACTTATTTCGCTGCTGGCAATAATGCAGATATTCCTTTGACCATCTTTGCCAAAAGTGTTGACGTATTTGCTCCACCCGTTGCCAACGAGAGAGCCTAGTAGCCGGGATTCTTTCCAATGATGGTTCAGGGTACGATGTCAATGGTGCTCCGATTACGAAGTGACCTGGAGTAAGTGGCGTAAGGTCGGCCACGTCAGATGAAACGGGTGTGAGAGGACGCGAATTAAGAATCGCTTCAATTTGGATGACTAGTGTTTCTAGCTCCTCGTATCTTAGATGCGCCTCTCTAGTAACTCGATAGAGATGACGTTTGGCTCCCTTGACGGCAGCTTCCCATAATCCACCATGATGGGGCGCTCTAGGGGGTATGAAGCGCCATCTGATTCCTTTAGAGGACACGTAGTTAATAATCTGTTGATGGCTTTCTTGATTTTTGAACAATGCGGCTAGCTCGTTTAATTCTCTTTGAGCTCCTTTGAAATTTAAGCCATTATCCGAATGAATGATAGTTGGGCATCCTCGTCTAGAAATAAAACGCTTTAAAACATTAAGAAATGCTTTAGTGGATAAATCAGTTGCTAGTTCAATGTGAACAGCTGTTGAGGCGAAGCAAACAAATATTGCAATATAACATTTTAATAGCTTAGAAGTTTTTCTTAAGCCTTCTTTATAGTAGAGAGGACCCGCGTAGTCGACTCCGCAATTTTCGAAAGGACGCTCGGGAATTGTGATCCTGGATTCGGG